TTGCCCCCAGCGTTCAGGCCACTGCACTTCTTCATACTGGGACGGCAGCCTTTCTTCACGCAGCCAGTGCAGGCAGCGCTCTTGTCATTGCTGATGCACTGGTTCATGCACTTGTCACGGGAGCATTCCACCAAATGAGCCATGCAAGCAGCGCATCCCTGTGAGTATCCCTTCTGTTGCATGCAGCCCTGAGTGCAAGGGAAACCGGCAGCACAAGAGCGGCCGCACTGGTTCAAAGCACCATCGAAGCTCATTCTTCCTCCACCTTTCCAAATTCCCATATCCTTTGGGTTGCTGCATGCTCCACCAACTCCACCCTCCTCATCCGTCACTTCCTCATCCATGTCCTCATCCTCGTCCTCAGCCATCAAAACATCGTGGTAGTTCACTTTCATTCCACGGAGCTGGTTCAATTCGAGGCTGCAATCACCATTGGCTGCACATGCATCATCTACCTCCAGAGCTTCCAGGGTAGGCTCAGCGGCTGCTACTGCAAAAGCAATGAAGGAGCAAAGAAGCTTCATGGCCATGCTCAAGAGTGTCAGGGCAGCTTGCCTCGGCGCTGGCTGCGCAAAAACTGCACACAAGTTGCTTGAGCAAAAGAATCGCAGCGCTCGTCTATCTGCAGGCTCATGTCCTACGCTCATGCCGCCCACCAATGAGTCATGCAGTCATGCATGGTTGTGCCCAATCTGCTTCTAGAGCTGAAACATGAAAATCGTCGCAATTACAGTAAAGATATAGTTTATCCCAACTAAATGGCCTACTTGCATTTCAGAAGAATTCTTTCGGAAGACTTTGGAAGGCTCCAACCGCCCAAATGGCTAAGGCCTTGGCATTTGAGAGCCTCAGGAAGCTGCAACTGCGGATGGCCAATGATTCTCGGAATTCTTGCGGCCCTTCACTGCATTGGAAAACTTCACGACCAGCGTGACCAGTGATGGAACGAGGACAACGAAGATTCCCCTGCGAGCTTCGGCGTAACTTGCCCCAGCATGAACATGCAAATAGAGACTTTGGACCAGTCGTGAAGGGGTTTGGGGGGGGCGGATCGGCGGATCGGCGTGACGCACGGACGTCCATCCCACCCTGGCGGACCGCCAAAAGGACGGAAAACGAGATGATCAAGTGGTTGCTTCTGCTGAATGGTGCTTGGATTGGAGGCTCTCACCTTCGAGTGGAGTGCAAGCCCGCGAACTCCTGGGCACCGGACGGCGGCCTCGTCGTCGGTCCTGGAAGCACCGCAGGACGGTGACTCTTGAGGTCGGTATGCATGCAGGGCAAAGAGTAAGGACCAGCAGTCACAAAGGGGTGCCGAACTGGACTAAAAACCACCCCTTTGTGACTCCTGGGAGATGCAAAAGTCCTTCTTCTCGAACATCTGTACAAGAGAAGACTAGCAGATAGATCTCCATAAGCACAATGTGCGGCACAGCGACAACATAAATACTTGGCATTGAGATGCATTGGGCATATTCGCTGCCATTCAATCCTACTGTAAGCGTGAGGTCATTCTGGCCTCTTCTTGTGCATAAAGCGCAGACAAGTCTTGCACCATCGGCACGCTGCAGAAACCATCCTCGGCACACTTGACCAGGCGTCGGCGGTTTCCATGATGTCCCGCCTATTTCCCCCAAAGGCTGCATGTTTCGCATGTTCTGGTCCCAAAAACAGGCTTTCAAGAACCCCTGTTCCTGCTGCAGCAGGAATGCATGCATGTGCAGTGGGTCTTCCGCATGCGCCATGTGATGCAACACTCAGTGCGTCCGCCATGGCAGGTCTCCGTAACTAACTCTTCCAAGAAGCAGTCCACATGCAAAGATGCTGTTGGTGCCAGGTATGGATTAAGTATAAGGCTCACACATGGATATTAGATTTTAATATATACAAAATCGTTTCGAGAACACCAAAAGAACCTGAAAATGATCTTCTTATCTGGGCGACCCAGCTGAGTACGCATGGGAGACTACAAACTGCAAGAAGCTGCTGGGAGCACCCCACTCCTGGCCACGCCAAGAAGGTGGACGTTGGGCACGCGAAACGGGTCAAAGCTCCGGAGCTCAGGAGATCTTTGGAGTACGGATTGATCTTGCCCCATCTCCATATGGCTCCAAATTGGGCTGAGGCTCTCGTTGGTGGCTGTCACTCTCACCCCTTTCCACCCCTTCCCGGGCACCCGTGTCACCCACGCCGCGACGGCGCGTCGCGCCGCCCCCGCGGAAGACGCGCCCCCCCGGTCCTCGGGCCGCGGCGCGTGGGGGTCGCCGCGCGACCCGCTGCCGAGCAGCAGGAAGAGGCCGATGGCGATGGGTGGCTGAAAGGCGTCCCTCAGCTGCTGAGAGGCTTGCCTCACTTGCGAGAGACGGGGCTGGAGGTACCGGACCGGACCGGCCACGGCGGCTTTGGCGGGTGGTTGGAGGCGTTCGGAGCTCGGTTGAGGGGGAGACTAGTTGGATGTTAAGTGAGGCGAACTTGAATGGATTCTTGGATTCTTGCTGGTTCTCGACTTTTCCTGGAAACTCGAAGACTTTTTTGCCATGGTCAAGGCTTTAGCTAGGAGCGTCACAAACAACAAGTCACAAGTCTTAATCCTGCAGTACCCCAAGCAGGAAGGACACTGCAAAACATCTGCAAACTGAGGAAATCACCCCTAGATGCTCCCAAGCGGCTCCACCTCTCGCCAGGATCTGCACTGTACCACCCGAATTCGTTCCTCCAGAAACTCCTTGGTGAGTCTCATGGGCACCGACTTGGGCCACACATTCTTCAAGCTCGACGACACCAGCTCCTTGCACTTCCTCACCAGGCCAGTGGCTCGGCCCGGGAGCTTCTCCTCGCTCCACACCTCCAGCTTCGGCCACAGCACGCTGTGCAGCGGCCCCACGTCGCGCAGAAACCGCAGCAGCTCCATGCCGGCCGGGCTCGCCATCTCGGCCCGCAAGCCTTCGTGCCGCGCCAGCAGCTTCGCGGCCGCCCGGCGGAAGCTGCGCTCGTCCAGCAGACCTCGACATCCATAGAGCCACTTGCAAGTGCTATTCACCTCGGCAGGGGGGCCACGGTCGATCCCAAGGTCAATCCATTTGGGGCGCCCCAAAACGCGTGCCCCGCAAAAGGTCCACACAACGGGCGGCCGTCAGTTCCAAACAGAGAGCCGGATCACCCTGAAATGGTCGGTGTGATCAGTGTGATCGTTGAAACCAAACGTCCAAGACCACACCGGATCGGACAAGGGACCCCTCCACACGCGTCTGCGCCGTCTTCGTTCGCCGTCTTCGCTCTCTCCCCCGCCTGCCCGGGCGCAAACCACACGGTGCGCGGCACCCCGAGGTCGCCCGCGGTCGGTGTGGCGGTGGGCGTCGACTCCGCCGGCGAGCCGGCGGCGTCCACGGCCGTTGGGAGATCCACGAGGTTGAGCAGATCCTCCACTGAACTGCATTCGAAGACCTGATGAAGCGATGTCTGGGATGGAGAGACCCCATGGAATGATGGAGGTCCGGCACACACTCTTGGAGGATGATTGGCTGAAATGTTGGGTCGTGGAAGGATTCTTGAACAGAAGGGATTGGGCTGAACAGCATTGAACAGTGAGGTCTCAACCAGTCTGCCAAACTCCTCCAAACTCGTTTCCTCTTCTCCCTTCCCTCCTCTTCGTGTTCGAACCCTCGCACCTCTTGGGGTCTCAAGCACAAGCTGGGCACGGCCAAGCGCAGCTGCCGGCAGAGCGTCAACACGGCGAGGGAGTCGATGCCCAGCAGCCGCGTTTGGAGGCTCAGCGACGTGGAGCTCAGCTGCTTGGACAGAAGCTGCAGCAGGATGCGTCCTCCGAGCCACCGACCCATCGCGAGCGGCGGGCGAAGGGGGAGGGGGTTGCTTCGAGCGGGGTCATGGCGTGCACGAGGAGGCCAGCCACTGGGCCATCTCTGAGTTGATCCTAGTTGATCCCTCTCGCTGACCAACTCCAACTAACTCCTCTTAGCAGTTGATAAAAAGAATTGTCTTTAGGTGACCCGAAAAAGACACGTCCGTCACCGCAGCTGGTCAACATATATGATAATATGTAATATATGGTATTTTGAACTTCCAGAAATGAGCCATTTCGATGACACCGGGCCTGCCGCGGTCTTCGCCACCGCGGGGTCACCCGCCCCATCGGCGCCCTCCGCGTGATCGTTCCCGTCGTCATCGTCGTCATCGTCGGCGTCAGGGACTTCAGGCTCAATGACGTCGCGCGTGTGGAACTCCCACCACCGGTCATCGAAGCTTCGGTGACAGGACTTGCAGTAGAAGTTCTTGGCCTCTTGTCGCCAATCCGAGCCCCAGGGGAGTGGGCACTGGCACTCCACACAGGACCTGTAGCAGTTGCCCGGCTTGACGCGTCGATGACGAGTGGATGACGAGTCTACAAGACTCGATCAAGCCTGGGTAAACGCCCAAGTTGGCATTCGAAGCTGAAACGTCTCACGCTCCCCTTCACCCACCTGGACTTCCCTCGACCATTTGGGGGGCCGGTCACTGCGGCACGCACTCCAATTCCAGAATGTATACTATAGAAGAGTCGGGTGATGATGGTCCCATCCTCAACGAAAAACACATCAACAACAGCAGCGCTGCGTCGTCGCCAACAGCCCATAACAGCCCCTGCCAGCCACGCGTCCACTGAGGTGTGAAGGTCTCCACCTCGGGTTGCGCTGCAGGCACTGCTGCCTCCGCCTTCCGAGAAGGATCAAGGAGATGGTGGTGCAGTAACAGACGAGAATGGCGAGGGTGAGCAAAATAGGTAATAGGATACTCAGCGACACTCATGCAAATCTCTATAAAATGAATGATGCCTTAGATTATAATAGTCACGCTTGGCCGAAGACCGATGGATAACGCCGAAGCCAAAGTGATCTCATGGTCAACGGACGCAGGGTCGACGCAGCATCATGATGTGCTCACGTGCTATGACGTGCTGATGGGCGGATGTTGGCCAACTCGTTCCGTTGGACCCGGCAAAGGCCAGAGATTGACCTCTTGCTTCTTGCGAGAAGAGGAACAAAAACTCTTGCTGAACTTGAAAATCGATTTGGGTACTACATATGGTACTACCATAGATTTGCATGCCCTAACTTCAATCCTTCTGAATCTTCTTTTGGGATGCGCCCGAAAATCGCCGGGCCACGCACAGGGCCACGCACAGGGCCACGCGCAGGGCCCAACGCCGCCTCTGGCACGGGCACCGCGTCTTCTGCAGCTTCAGGCACCAGAGATGCAGCTGGCTGAAGCTCTGGCACACCTGGGGGGAAGAGCGTACCCTCCCTCCAAGCCCTGGAAGACCATCTGCCTTTTCAAACTTGAGTCTGTCCGCTTCCATGGTTGTTGAATGTTTGTTGCGGTGCCAGAATTTCTTTGGTGCCAGAACCGCAAACCGCGAGCCGCTCATTCATGTGCGGAGAATTCAATGAAGGAGCGGAGTCACAATGATTTTGACAAAGGTGGATAGTTGATTCAGCACAAAGGCACCTCCAAAGAGACCAGCCCATTGGTTCCAGCCCCCTGCCCTTCGAAAACCTTGGAGAGGCCCGAAAACGTTCCACCAGCAGCTTGCAGGCAAAAGTGTCTCAAAGCACTCAAGGGAGTCAGGTCCATCCATCTCTCATGCCCAACAAAATGCCTGGAAGTGTGGACCCAGACTGATCTTCCTCTCACCCCTTCTCCCGATCCGGACCTGTGGGCCCGTCCGCATCACAGACCTGCATCCGGTCGAGGTCGTGGAGTCGTGGCACCAGCACGTCCGCCACGGGACACCCTTCGCTCTTTGGGGGCTCCTTCCTCAATGGTGCTGCCGACCTTTTTGGGTGCAACCGAAAAGTAGCTTCTTTTTTTGACTGTCAGTCTGTTAGTGTTCAACTGTGACTGCTTCCAGAGGTCAGCATCAGGTTCTATCTTTTGGGGTGAGGTCCCTTGTTCTTTTCGCGCCGCAAGGCGCAAAGAACTGCAACAAAAAGGGGCGCCCATCGTCCAAAGGTCTCAGGAAAGTGCGTTCACCTCCGTCTGGCCCTCTGCGTCTCGCTGGTTCGGGCAGCTGCAGCAGCGGACCATTCCTCCGCGTTCCCGGGTGCCTTCCTTCCCCTTTCGCGCTCCATTTCTAGTTTTCGAAGGACATCCGGACGGAGCTTCAGGTAGATCGGTCTTTTCGGCGGCTCCGGAAATGGACGATCTTCCAATAACTCCCCGGGACCAAAGGGGATGCGTGATCGCGTTTTCGCACTTGCAGCGGCATGACCACCCACTGCGTTGGGTTCGGGCGTTTTTGGGTAAAAGGACCGCTGCTTCGCCGAGTCGTTCTCGGGCGTCCGGTCGTCTTCGCTCAAAGCTTGGCTTTCAGTGGCAGAACAAGAAGCTACTAGGGGCGCTCCGAGCATCGCTGCTAGGAACCCGGGCATCGCTACTAGTGGCAAGGTATATTACGCTAGTAACGATGAGAAGGAAAATGGTGGCCCAGCATGCATGGCCCGGTTTCCACTCTCCTCCTCTCATCGAAAACGACCATCTCCAGATTTGAGCACCTGCTTGAGCACCCCATCCCGCCTGCTCGACAGGCTCGAACTCCGGCTCCACCAGTGCAGCTGCCTGCAGAGGCCAAAGATGGGAGCAAAGGATCCTCCTGCAGAGGACCACATGGACTCTCAAAAGCGCTGGCGTTGTAGCGGAATATTGTGGTCCACGTTGTCTGCAACAAGGGGGAACGCAGGAGGAGGACGGTAACTCTCGTGGCTTCTTTGCGGTGTCTCCGCAGTTGATGCTGTGGTCGCCTCGGAGGGGCCTTTGGTCAATAGCGCTGGAAGGTTGTTGGGGTTGAGGCTTCCAACCAACAGAGTTTCCCCAACCCACCCTTTCCAAAGAGCTTCCACCATCTTCCACCCAGTAGGGTTTCCCCAAACCCCCCCCAACTCCGCCTCATCTGCCTCATCCATCACCAGGTCCGCCTCTTCCAGCTCCCGCAGCTCCTCCGGAGGCTTGTAGGGCAGCCGCTGCTGTTGAAGGCCTTGGATCCAACCCAAACGCTCGGATGACGAGGGATGAGGTGGGGTGGGTCTGGGATGGGCTTGTTCGGCCTCCCAACTGGAGCTTGAGCTTCTGGGCCAGTGGGGACAGACTGACCGATCCATCCGAATGAACGTGTAACACGTGCACCAACGTAACAGCCGGGTGGCAAACAGCCCCAAAAAGGATTCAACCAAGCTGAAAAAACCACCTATTTACCAACCAACCTATACTCACTTGGTTGGCCGAAACAGAAGCCGTTCGCCGTTCGCCCCAGACTTCGATCTTCCAGGAATGCCCCGCTTGCCCGGCGCTTGGCCATCGAAGGGGGAAAGGGTGGGGGCCCGTGTTGCCTGGTGAAAAAACCTGTGGCCCAACCAATGTCGGGAAGGGAAGGAGGCCAAAACATGCCAAAACCTGGTTGTTTTGATGTATAACTTATATGTGTTGATGATCCGCTGATTTAAATGTAGGCGTGGCTTCAAAGACCAAGACTCTGCAAGGGAACATCTGCAAGTTATGGTTCATCTTCCCTTTTTTGGGGTGCACCTGATGTCTTCGGTGCCATCGCCGTAGCGTTTGTTGATTTTGTGATCCCACTGCGGACTCTCTTCGCCAAAGCCACGTTGAAGCTGCTCCCGCACCACGCGCGGTGCAGAGAGCAATGCCTTTGCACCATCCCGTGGCGGCGGGACGAGGAGGACATCAAGTTCCTTGAAACTTTGTAAAGCCACACGCCGGGCCACCAGTATCACACGGTGAATGGTTTGAAGTCTAGACCCCCCTCTTTCACCTAAGCTTAAAATGTAGTTGCAGGTCAGTCAAATCAGATGGGTGATCATTCCTGACAGCTGCACTCAAGCAATCGAAAAGAGACAACAAACACTGGTGACTAGGTTGTTGTGACGTCATATATTGATAGTAAATATTAGTCTCCCAAACTTAAAAATAGTAATAACAATAACAATAATAATAATAGAAATGCGCTGCTGGCCTCAAGGATGCGGTCGGCCCAGGACTCACTCCTCCAAGCGATGCGTTCTGAGATGCGTTCTGAGATGCAGCCAAGTCTTGCTGGTGACGACGAGTGGGTGACTGAGTCAGTCTCTTGAAAAAGTGATAGTTAAGTTATATGTCCAATCACCCCCAAGTTCTGCAGTGCTTTGCAGCGCTTAACTCGTCCATTCGGGATCCATTGAGCCCATTCCCATGACCAGCATGGCAACTCACATGCGAAACCGCCTCCCGCGAAAATCCATGAGGGTCGACTGGATCTCTTCCTCAATCCGACGCGTTCCAACGACGCTTCGACGCGGCACGCGGTCGAAGCGAGAAGCGGGAAGGCCGCGGTCTCGACGCGGTCGAAGCGAGACGAGGGCGATTTCGGTGATTAGACCAATCCCACACGAACCGCGAACCGATGCTGAGGTTGACCCCAGAGGGCTTGCGAGTGGTTTGGTTTTGGGGGAAGGACCTCGCAGGCTCTTTCTCTTTTTTGGGGGCAAAAAGAGGAGCGTTCCATCTGTTCCACCGCTGCTGGATCAAGATCCATCCACTTCCACGGCTGGCTAAGGACCCAAGGAGTGTGAGCAATAGCATAGCCCCGAAAAGAGGGGGACTTCGTGGGACTTCCAGGAATCACGTGTAGGTGTGTACTCAGAGGCACAAAAAGCACGGAGGAACTGGAAGACCCAGCGTTGAAATGTACTCCTTCAACCTTCAACTGGCTATTCTTTGATTCCCTTGTGGTTGAAATGTGGACCCTGAAAGCTCAGCGCTGGAGGCGCGAAGATGTGTAAGTCGTTGCCTCATCTGTGCTTTTGAAAGCAGGGTGGCAACGACCTGGTCGTTCCGAGGTCGTTCCAACGACGACGCAATTACAACGCACGACCTGTCGCTCCGTCGCTCGCTCTGTCGAACCAACGGATTTGAAGCAGAACAAAAGCCCGTCTCGACTACTGCTGTTTGGTTGAAAGCTTCGACCTTTCTGCAGAGTTCTGTCAGTCCCAGACATATTCCCATCACTTTCAGGTTCACCCGCAAAGCGTCCTTTCCCACTCACCAAAGCCCGTCCTTTTCCAAAGCCCTCGGGGCACCCGGCCAAGTACCATTTCCACCCGCTGGAGGTGAGCCACCAACCACATTCAACCTGGAGAGGAAGGACAGGAACCAGCGCATCAAGGAACCAGCTGTGGAACCCCATCCCTCTCCCACATCTCCCACCCTTTTGTGGAGTGCCAGACCCGAAAGCTTTCGCAAAAGAAGTCCCACCGAATCCAACGAGAAGCGACGTCTCATCGAATGGTTCATCGACTGGTTCATCGGCCCCAGCTCCTTTCCTCGCCCTCTGTCAAGTTTCTGCCGGGTCCCATCGGCCTGCGCCTGCTCTGGGATCGCCAACCAGAAGACCAACCACCACGAGAGCATGTGCTCACGCCTCCACCGGGCGGGGCCCAGCAGCACCAATTGGTTGGTGTGCTTTCGACGGATTTGGTGCAGTGGTGGGTGGGATGTGTTGCACGTTTTGATGGCTCGTATGTGTTGTGCGTTGCTGTTGAAATGATGCAAGATATGCAAGTAAATCTCAGTTCCGCCCCGGAATTGTCCCAGGATCAGAACGACAGCGACAGCCTGATGCTTCATGAACTCCCACCGAAAGACTGTTCATGAATTCCCTTCACCCCTCATCCACACCCAGAAGAGGTTAGTCAAAATGGACCTTCTTATACTTATCATTAACTTCTAAATTCCATAACCATAACTCACAACTCCCTTTGTCATGGCATCATGGGGACCGTCCCATGACAGCTCATGGGTTTCCACCACTTCCGCTCCACCACTGCCTCAAGCTCGCAGCGCCCAGCGCTGTCGTGGCTCCCAAGCTCAGCCGCGCCAACCAAGCGCCGAGGCCTCGCAGCGGCGGACGGGGCAGCCACCGCGTGGGGTGGGTGGTGCACTGGGTTCCCGGTCCTGAAGGGAGAGTCGGGCGAATCCCAAAGCGAATGACCGGTGTAACTCAAGGAGATGAAATTAGATGGAAAGGACCGGAACATGTGGAGGGACAACACCCCCAAGAAAACTCAATAAAACTCATTTAAGATAGAAAAATGATGGCATCAACTTCCGAATGGGGAGGCATGTTCGGAGCTACCCAAAAAAAAAGACAACGTCAAAAACCGATTCCAGGATATGTGCTTTCGGTGTCTTTTTCGTGGGCCTCCGTCCAAAAACCCTGCAGGTGGCTTTTGCCATGGCTTTTCCGGGCGCGTCAAGAGGCCGTCCTGGCCGTCAGGTCTCTCCCGGATGCCCACGGCCGTCAGGGCGGTCCCTTGAGGCCGCCGCCTCTGGATCGGGCCAGGTGATAGGAAATGCAAAGCCTCGGGACACTGGGCCCGGGTCAGTTCCAAAGGCAACTGCGCAGGTTCCAAGCGCTTTTAGGAAAGCTTCTTTCAGTATAGCTCAGCACATGGAGACAGCGCTACCTTCTGACATGCAGTCCGAAGTCGACCTGCACTTGGAGGCGTTTCTCGGACTTACAAAACTCCGGTGGTCATAGAAGGCTTTAAGTGCCAAGATCTAGCTCAGCAAACTTCAAACAATCCCAACCATCAACCTTGCAGGACAGACCCCACTTGATGAACAACTTGGATTGAGGGTTTGAGGGCGCTTCTTTCGTGAGGAAGAACTCCAGAGACGCCCTCTATATAAGGGAGAGTCTACATCTTCTACATGTAGTTTGTTGTCGCTTCAGTAGCTGAACAAGTAGCCGAAGAAAAGCCTGGCCCATGCCGTCTGGCAAACCGAACATGCCAACATGGTGGAAGGCTCGAATTCCACTCAGAGAGCTCTTGTGTGGCTTTTTCAATAGCACTTGGATGAAAAACGTTCTTTCCAGCCTTCCAAACACAGCTCCATCCACTTGGTCAAGGCTCCCACCGGGTCGACCGGTGGCCTCGCGCGCGACGACCGTCGCGCGGACCGTCTCGGTCGTCCAAGTGACACCCCCAAGCGGCCAAAGGGCACGTAGTTGATGAAAGACCTGCCGAAGTGCTGCGCAAGCAAGAAAGCATAAGAAAAGCAAGACATATATACATCTGGTTGTTTCGTTTTCGTTTTGTGTGTGTTGTCAGCAGGTTGCATCTCTTGAAATCGGTTGAACATCGGCCCAGAGAGCCGCTATGAACTTAAGGCAGCTCTTCTTGCAAGGCAAATTGAAGAAGCAGAAGCAACCGCCTTGGACGATGGACCTATAGAGTGAAAAGAAGGACACTGTCAGGATGCGCAACGTGCACAACATGGCGCAGGTTCCACGTGTGAACCGAGTATATGAGCCTCTCAGCGACACCCTGGGTGGGACAATGGATGGTCAGTCCAAAGATTGTGATATACACCGACCCATCTGTGTATATATTTCATTCAATTTCAAGAAACAATTGTTGAAAACTACCAGTACACAATCTCAACCTTGTTCAAGCAGCTGGCCCTTTCCGACGCCTGCAAATATGAATCGGGATGTGAAAGGAGAATAGCCACATGTACGGGACCTGGGCAAAAGCTGGCACATCTTCCCGAAAGTGTCAACCGATAAGCCCGAAAGGGGCATTTGGTCGAGACGACAACCTTTGAAAGTGGCGACAAACAACATGTCTATTTGTTTAAGCCTGCCCTTACTTAACTAAGTCGGCGCCTACTTAATCAAGTACGGGCTAAACAAAATACTAGGTAACCTGCTACCAGCTAGGGTGCAGGATAGCTCGCGCTCTTTATTTGGTTCCTAGATCATTTGGACAGCTGGTGGGGGTTTGGAGGCTGAGGCCCAGCTGAAAATCCAACTCATCCAACGCCAGGTTTCGCTTGCTGCACCCGGTGCTCCGAGGAAACAAATAGGAGTTGAAAATTGAAAAAAGGTCTTCCTCCACCAGGTGCGTCCTATCGTGTGCTGAGCACAACCCTGCCCGTGGCTCTCCAGCTTCATGGCAAGACCCTCACACACAGAAGAAGTTTCTCTCGGAAGAGCTCAGGCAAGTGCCGCGGCCACATGCAGTAGAAACTGGAGCAAATTCTTCCAGCTCGGCCTGGAAAGGAGTTCCAAAACAGTGGGAATGGTTCATGGCAGTTGGTGAAAATGGCAATCTTTTCCATGGGTGTTCCATACTGAGAAGTCCATGGATGGATCCTGATTCTGATCACATTGATGACTGAATGTTCCTCTACAGTCTCTACAAAATCTACTTTGACTGGGTCTCATTGTATCCTCCTCTTCACCCATGTCTTGCTTGCGTGCCGTGGGCACGCCTTGAAGCCCGGCCCGATCGAAGCCTCAGTTCCACAAAGAATGCATCGCTACGAAAGGGCCATAGGCCTATCGTAGGCCCTAGGCTAGGGTTCATAGTATTTTTATTAGTAGTAGCAGTAGTAGCAGTAGTAGCAGTAGCAGCAGTAGTAGCAAGAGTAGCAGTAGCAGGAGCAGTAGTGGTGGTGGGAGTGGTGGTGTTCATCGGGGTCAACTGGGTCAACTGGGTCCGTTTCAATGTGAAGGGGATCCTGCAATTCCAACCACAAACGAGAAGACCAGTTGGACCTTCTTGTTCATCCGCCATTCAGCTGTGCATCTATAGGCTCTAAAGATTCTCATGTTGTTGTCTTTCCATCACGCAAAGGCAACCAATGGGTGTGTCCAAAGTGAAGGATGTCCTTCCCCTCCCGCTCCAGCTCCAAGCCGCCAGGAGGACAGGTTCACTGCGCCCGCCAAGGCAAAGACCAAGAGCCATGGCCCTTGTGGCTTGAACCTATCAAGGTCTGCATGGTGCTACACGTCTAGATGTGCAGTCTCGGTCTGTGCATCGGAACCCCAATTCCTCAACCAGAAAAACATCTGCGGATCGAAGAGATCATGAACCCCCAAGTGTTCTTCATCCTAACTTCCCATCTATTCCCAAACGTTCCGGGAAGATTCCAACGTCACCACAACACCCCCCCCCCACCCTGAACGGCCGCCGGCCGCGCCTGGTCCACAGGGCCGGCCATACGGCGCGCGCGGGCGGAGTCACGCTCACGCCTGCCCGGGAGGACCCCTCATGGGTCTGGTGAGGGTCTGGTGAGGATCTGAGAGGGTCTGGCTTCCATCATCGGGTGGGGGGAGACACCCGAAAAAGAGAGAGAGCGCCAGGTGGGGTTTTGAAGGAGGAATAGATGGGGGTCTATGTGTCCCAACGATTCAAGGGGGGTCGGAACGCCTTGGGAGGGCTCCCTGTTTGAGCTACACAGCCACATAGTCGCATAGCTTCTGAGGTGGAGAAGAAGAAACTGACTCCATGAAGAGATGTGCGCCAGGATGCTCTCAACGGGCGAAAGGCTCCGTGCTTGCAGAAAGGCTCTTGGCACCATCAAAGCACAAGTTGTTTGTGCATTGAATGAAGTGGCCATGGCCCAAAAGAAACAGAGAACATACCTGGACCTTCAAGGGGTGTCCAATGAATGGAGGTCCCTTAGTGGTGTAGGGGCTTCCATTGGTGACCCCTTTGAAGGTGCTGGTACTGAACATGCAAATCCCAAAAGACTTCTTTGGGGCCAACTCCTGCATCCCTCAGCCGTGCCACCCCCTCTGTGTTTCCCCCCCTTGCTGCGCCTTGCAGCAGGCTGTGGCGATCCACTTTGCCAGACACTGGATCCTAGACAGCAAAGCCACCAGCCGGATGTGCCAGGTGGTCCCACTGAGGGCCTTCGTGCTTTGGAATGGACCTTGAAAACCCATAAACCATCACAAATCCATGGAGGTGGTCTTCTTCTTGTTCGTGGGCGTTCCTTCCAGTGGGTTTTGGCACCACCCCAAACAATCAGGGCCGCACTCCATCGTGTCGACCGCACCCCGAAGACCACACACCCGCCTTGGGCAGCGGTTTGCTGAGGAGATGCAACGCAGCGGAGGGCGGCAGCACCGCACGTGCGCGCGCCAGGAGCCTGGATGCGAACACGGAGGGGTGTCCAAAGGACTTGACTGCCGAGGTCAGACGGCCGAAGGCCAAGTGATCAAAGCGATTTCCCCGAGTGTGGGCAATAAGGATGCGTTGGGGCAAACAAATGGCGCGTGAGATGTCGCGAGGTGTCGCGGCAGAAGGATCCTGGAAAAGGTCTTCTTCTTTGGTCCAGGGCTGGGCTTGTGGATCCTTGGGGAATGTGAAACAGCTTGAACCAGTTGTCGTCGACCTGACCATTGAGTGGTGTGTCTTTTCTCGCCTTGCACCCCACAGGAGACCGAACTTAATCAAAAACCCCCAGTCCTATGGGATACGCTTCGGACACCGCTGGGGGCGAATCTTTCGGAGTTCTGGACAACTCCTACTATGCTTATAGGATCTTACAGGACCTAGGAACCTCCAGAAAGAGATCATGGGACTTTGCTCCGGTACCGGGGGCGCCATGGTCGATGTCCGTCCGCGCCATGGTCGATGTCCGTCCGCCCCGTAAGGTGCCCCGTCCCACGGTGCCCCTTACGGTGTCTCACCTGGCAGCAGCTGGACGTGCGGCACCCTCTCCAATCGACACGAAGATGTGCCTCATTGGACACCCAAAGAGGGCTGTGGACGAGGTGCGAAGTCGATACTACTGAAACAAGCCCTCAACATGCTTACATATCTTCACACAAGAGGTGATTTCTTCATGTCTTTCTAGACCTCTCACAGTGTCTTCCATCAAGTTAAAGTCCGCTGTGGGGTTGCCATTCGCCGGGTATTCTGGAGACTCACGGTTGGACCACAGAAATGCTTTGAGAAAGCCCAGCATCCAACTCCCCTCACCACACCCAAGGCACGCAGCTGCACCCTGCTGGCCCGGCTGTGCAACACCCGGTAGGGCACACACCTGCGTGCGGAAACGCCAGCGATTGGAAATCGGTGCCCGTGGGAGTCCGGTACGGCCCTGGAGATCTCTGGACATGGCCATCACATGGCCACCCAGGAAGACAAGCTTCCTCCAAGAAAAGAATTAGATTTCTCTTCTGCACTTCTGCACACTGTGCGGGCAAAGTCTCCAAATCGAAACCAACAACTAGACGACGAGTGGCCCGAAAGCATTTTTCATCACGTAGGAAATCAGAGTGCGAGTTATCCGGTAAGTGTGTAGTGAGAAGTGTTAAGTCAAGTGAGTTGAGGTAGTGTGTGGGCTTCTGTGCGTGTGTCTATGTCCGTGTGGAAACGAGTCTGCGTATGTGTGTGTTCGTGGAAGTTGAGGGAGTGTGTGGGTGTCTGTGTGCGATGCGGCCTCCCAAACCCCCCACCAGCGGCCAAGCGGTGACAGCCCAGCTCATCGTCGTGAGCATTTGGGCTGCTGGTAAGGGGACAATGGCAGCCAGCGTGCTGGCTTACCCACTTCAACTATGATGG